TGAACACTGAATTATACAGAAAACACTTTTCTCTACTCAGTTTGTATTCCAAACATTCGAATGATCTACACGTCTATATATAAAGTTACTTTTTTTAAAATTGATTTCTTTCTTCCTTTCTTTGGAAGATTCCCACATTTTTCTGTATCAAGATGGAGTAGTAAAAGCTAAAAACTTTCTTTCCCAAAAATTAGTCACTCCTAAAAAAATATAACCCTTTCAAATTAATTTAATTATATTTGATCATTCAGCAAATTTTCAGAAGTCTCTGAAACAAATTCTGTGAAACATGTTTTTCCTCACGAATCAGTAGACAGTTGTTCTGAAAATCTTGAGAAGAAAACTGGATTAGATAATTTAGGAAACACTTGCTACATGAATAGCATTTTACAAGTGTTGTTCATGACGAAGAATTTCAAGAACGAGGTTTTAACGATGAACGAGAACAATAATGTTTCCTACTTATTCACCAAACTCTGACAATTGTTCATGCAGTTGCAGTTTCGTAAGAATGCAGCGATTTCCTGGAGTCTTTGAAGTCCTCTAGATACTCGTTAGGACCAAAAGAGGATTGCTCCGAATTCTTGGGGTTCTCATTAAATACTCTTCGTGAGCAAAAAAATAGCAGAATCATTACTCCTAACCGCTCTGGATTGAATGATTCCATACAGTCTATCTCGTCTAGTGTTTGTAGATCTTTTGCTGGAAAAATCCCAACTTGTTTACTTTGTAGTAAATGTTCAAGAGGTAGCAAAAACGAATGTGATTTTCTGGAACTAGCGTTTCCTAATATAACATAACCAGTCAGTGCAAAGCTTTTGTTGAATCATCTGAAAATGGAACTTTTAACGAATGATGATCAACTGTATTGCCAAACATGCGCCAAACAAACTGACTTTTATAAAAAAACAAGTATAGCTGAGGCATCAGGCAATCTAATAATAACACTGATGATCTTCAAACATGACTCAACCTCTGACGGAAGTAAGAAACTTTTTCGAAGGTTCGAAATAGATGAACACTTCAATCTAGCAGACCACTATTATAATCTTCATGCAGTCATTGTTAACTGTGGTTCTGGCGTTGAATCTGGTCGTTATTACGCCTTGGTCAAAGAAAAAACGGACTGGTTTAAGTTTGACGATAGTCGTGTCACTAAGTGTTCTGGCGATGTCTTGAATTTATTGTAGCCTCTGAAGACACCCTACATTTTATTTTATAAGAGAGAGGACATTGTTGGATCAAGATCTTCAGATGATGTGGTGCTGAAGTTTTTTCCGGGTTTCCTGCAGCTGAGAAAGCAAATGCGCCACTGGAATCAATGATGTCGCCTCGGAGCGCCAATTAATTTTTTTTTGTTTTATACTTTCATGATTTGTATTTCAAATAAATCAACGGAACGTACAGAAATAAACCATTCACCAGGGTTATTCCACTTCAAAAATTGATAAAAAAACTTGGATGAACCCACCAATAGCATCGCTTGTTTTTTGAAAACGATAAACAGACTTATACGAACAATAAAGACAAAATTTAGGTGTCAGATAGATCGGGAGTATATGGGTTGACTTGTGGTTCTTGCCTAAAACATTATATTGGCCAAACATGGAAAAACTTTTCCCAAAGAAGAAAAGTAGATTTGAAACCATATATAAAAGAGTTTGCTGAGGGATACCTGGAACAAAAAATAGCAAAATACACAGTTCAAACTCAAAGAAACCAAAACAGAGGTAGGACCGTGGGATCATGTATCTCTGACGAGAAGAAAACAAGTGATTGTGTGAATGTCCGATGTTCCAAATAGAAAGAAACAACTACAATATACCTCAAGATTGGAAAGAAGCTCTAGGATGATATCAAGTGAAGAATATGATTTGCTTTTTAACTTCTTTGAATCTCATTATGAAATTGAAACTACTACCTAGTGATTTGTAACAGACATAGGTTAGGTTAGGTTAGGCATTGCTCCATACTTTACCATATTGAATACACCAAGAACAAAATTCGAAAGATTCATTTCTCAAATGTTTCTTTACAGTAGGATCTGGTAAAAGCATGTCAGAAAAAATCTACTCAGCTGGCTGATATCACGGTAGACATTAAATTATAACTGGCATTTATGGAAGATCCCGTAAAGAGATAAATCTTGCAGATGCTTTGTGTTCATATAACAGCAAGTTCTTGCTGAAATTGATCGAGGAGATCACGTATAGACCACAATTGAGGTATTACTCCTATCAGTGCAGGAAAGATTCAATTCAAACAGCAGTGTACCTGTGACTAGAATAATTTTGTTGTGGATCGACTAATATTGTTATCGTTGAGAAGCTGGCCAAGTTCCAATAGGTGTGAACCACTGTGAACCCTCGCGGGTTGAAGTTAATAAATCTTGTCTGGTTTCAGCATATACACCTCTCCATAGATACGTCTGACCAGTATTAGTCCTAACTATGCCTATGGTCCTGATGAAGTGCCCGTCATCGTACTCAAAAAGTCCGCAAATGAACTCGCACCAGTATTTTACACAGTTTTCAACCTGTCTTACAAGAACGGGGTTTTTCCTTCTTGTTGGAAGATTACTCTAGTTCAGCCTATTCCTAAAAAAGGCAAGAAAAATCTTCCAAATAACTATAGAGCAGTTGCTTTGCTATTACTGATATCAAAAATCATGGAGAAAGCTGTGAACCACCCTATCTTTGAATATTTGGAAGGCTTTGATATTTTGAACGATCATCAATATGGCTTTCAAAAACAAAGATCAACAGGCGACTCTCTTTCGTATATCACCCATATTGGGGATAACACAATCGAGAAACATGGAGAGTCAAGAGCTGTTGCGCTTGATATTTCTGAGGCCGTTGACTGTGTGTGGCATTAGGGTTTGCTGGCCAAACTTCGATGGTGTTCTGGTGTTCCCCAGGGATCCATATTGTCTCCAACCCTCTTTGCATTGTGTATCAACGATTCATTGGAAAAAACGAAGAATCTCTTATATTGCTTCGCTGACGACAGCACACTGCGGATGCACATCTTCACCGGCATATTTTAATGAGGATCTAGAAGTTATTTCGAATTGGGGTGAAACTAACCAGGATCAATTCAATGCCACAAAAACACAGGCATCAGTTTTCTCCAAAAAAGATAAATGTCTCCGAACCGGTTATAGTGATGTCAGGCGAGACAATTCCGCCTTCTGCTTCGATGAGTTTGTTGGGGTTTATAATGGATACCAATATGTCTTGGCACAATCATGTCGCTGGAATTACAAAGGCTGCTTCTCAAAAGCTATAAACACTGTTTCGAACATGAAAACTGTACAGACCCGAGCAACTTTTGATGCTTCATAAAGTTCACTAAGCATACCCTGAGGCTGCTGGATTCCATCCAGAAAAAAGCCATTCGCCGGATTGGAGACGCAAACATCACTTGAAACCTTGGAACTCTGAAACATCGAAGAAAAGTTGGATTATTTTCTATACATAGTTTTATGGGAAGTGTTCAAGTGACTTGGCACATTTGTTTCCACCAAGAGCAATACATATCAGAAATACGCGACGGACTGTTGCTGCTCATCGTTTCGAGGTTCAACTCAGTACACCTCGATCTCCACTGTTCAAGAACTCTCCCATTTGGAGAACTGTGTTTATGTGGAATAGACTTCCTGAGAACGTTTTTCCAGATGGATTTAATCTTTAGCGATTCAAATACAATGTGAATCGCTACCTTCACACAAGCACCGTTTTTAGAGCGCCTTGAAGTTTTTTCGGTAGTGCTTGTGTTTTGTTTAAAAAAAATATAGATTTTTCTGGATGTTGTTTTCACGTCAATCTAGCGTCTAGTGTCAGTGACAGATATTTAACCCCTCCCGAAAAATGTATGCTTTCAACTTATTTTTTTTTTTATTTAAGCAAATTCGCATCAACCTAGTGGTTATTAGCGAGTAGTACATGTTTATAATTTTGTAATAATATCGATACATTTAAGAAATTTGATAATATTTGGAATATTACAGTTTCTGCCAATAGCGTTGTAGATATCTAGGGGAAAGTTAAAGTTGTTTCGCTGCACCCAGTATTTTGGACAATCGGTGAAAATGTGCTCAACAGTCAGTTTTGTTTCACATATGTCACACATTGGCTCTTCGGTGTGATTTAACAGATAACTGTGCGTGAGTTTGGTATGACCCAAGCGTAGCCGATTGATGGCTTTCAACTTATTGATACGTGAATTTGAATCGAATGTGAAGTAAATTGAAATAATTCTTTCACGAATTCAACGCTAACTGTTATTTCCACCAGACACTCACATCTGTGTAAAACGGAACTATTGGATAAAAATACTTCGGATTCTGATACTCCCACCTTATGGATAATACTAAAAAAGTTACGCAACGTTTGAAAAGTAATATTTCTCTTCTATTTTTAAAATCGTTTCAAAAATGTATTATTTATCTTCCAAGCCGTTCTATGACGAAATTTGTGACGAAGCTCGCATTTTTGGCAACGGCCCACAACACCAACTTGTTTTTCAGCTGAATGAGCAAAAATGAATATTAGCCAATTCGTCGGACAAATTGAAATTGTGTTTGGGAATTGGAATTCTCAATTAAATACTGCTTTCCCATCAATTACTGTGAACAACGAAGTTATTATATTATTTTCAGTGTACTTGATTTTGCGTGGATTACTTTCATGATCTCATTAAAAACAGAAATACATTGCTTCCTTATTGAATATATAGGCTAAAGTACTACCTACAATAATTGAATTTTTGTACATGATGCCCATTTGGCAAAACACTTGAAAAAGTCTTCGCACCAGAAAATCTACTACAAAACAGTAGACCTAACAATACTCAACATGGCGCTTCTCTCGTGCGATTTCTTCTTAATGTGCTGTGGATTAATTCAAAATATTCCACAGTATAATTGCATAACGGCTTAGTTGTGACAATCAATTGTTAGTTGTCACTTTGCTGAATCTATAATTGATTTAATTAATTTTTCAAATCAAAACGATCTTGTTCTTTATATCAGATGAAGATTTTGACGTCAGTTAGGGTTTCAACATGACAGTAGTCAGTATACATGAAGAGTTGACAGAATTGATATTTTGAGAAAATTTAAATCAAACGCTGCGATTAAATTGACTTCGGATACTTGTTCAGAAAAAATATAACTATTCCCTTGGTTTTCTTGAGAATAAGTTGCGAATTCAAAAAGAGGACAATAAATGGAAAGAAGAGCAACTTCATAATGAACATTCCACGGTGTTATCATCAACTGGACAATGATTTTTGTCAGTTATCAAAACTTCTGTCAAAATGACTCAAAATGTTTATAAGGCACTGCTGAAACTGTTCAGTACCTATAAAAACGCCGAGTACTGCACCCCAGTGGACTTCGTGGAGGAGCAACTGAAAAACGGACTGAATATTGACGAAGACCTCTTCATCCAACTGGTACAACATGAAGCATTCTTGGCTGAAATATCAGAGCAATTCATATTCCTCAACAAACCAATGGAATGCAACAGAACTAACCTGATCGTTCTAATATATTTCATTATTTTCCTCCTGGATGAAACAAGCTTCCAAAATATATTGCACCATTCGATGCACCGGTGGAAGAACCTTCTTTATTTCCTCTCCTCGGAGGAGCAATATGGCTACATCACAAAAACAGCCAGTAGCTATTTCGATAATGACCATGTCCTGAAGAACATCATCCATCCTCTGTTGAACAAAGCCCAAGTGCTGAAGTTGCTAGCGGAGTATTTGGAGGACCAAAAACGGTGCAAATTTCCTACAAGGCAGCTAACCCAGCCTGTCGAGTTTAAATTTCAACTGAAGGTTAGAAATTCTCCACCCCCACCCTCAAATACACCCATGGAGCCACTGGGACTGCCTCCGCGAAAGGCGATTCCTAGGACGAATTACATTCCTGACCTGCGAGTTCTGCAAAGTATAAGGAAGGATCATCACAGGAACCTTGTGAGGGCAAAGAATCTCTTAGCGGAGGCTATGAAGATGGGGGAATGTCTCACCCGAGCAAAAAAATACATGAAGACCCCCATATCAAAGTTACCTACAATCAAGGCTAGGCGAGTGCCAGCTACATTGAAGAAAGTAGTTGAAACGAAGGGTAATCTCACAACAACGCTTAGAGAAGCGGCTTTCTTGATGAAGGAGCACGAAACCGAAATTCATAGTATCGAGGAAATTATAAAAGGAGGTTTTAGCGAGCAGAGAATTCAAGAACTCGAAATAGAAGATCGAATACGATCAGAGAGGAGAGCGATAGAGGATATACAGAAGAAACACTTACTGGGACTGTTGACGTTTGAAGAGGCAATTCTGGCTAAGAAAAAACTGGTTGAAGTGAATAAGTTGAGAAGTATGGAGGTGAAAGCTACTAAGCAGGAATTGGCAGATAAATTGGACAAGTGGAGGCAAGAGGAGCAGAACAAAATAAAAGCTCAGGTTTGGTAGATATTTGACACTGTCTGGCTTGCACACTCACGGTATCTGAATCAACAATTATTCATTTCACTGGAAAGTCAAATCAGTCAAAATTGGAAGGCATTCTAACTGAAAATTCACGTTCTTTCAAGTCACTTTGACTTATAATCTTGCTGATCCACCTGTCCGTGATTCCAATATCAGCATTTGATATGAAAAATAGGAACACCCTTCTTGATCCCCTTATCCTTCATATATTCTCTTGGGTTAACTTTTTATTCTACCATTTATGGTGCATTCCTTGCCATATATTTTTTATGTATCCTTTTGCTCAGAAAGTTCTATCCAAATGCTTCAATAGTAGTTGTACAACTACTTTCAATCTTCTTTTCAGTGTCTTCCTCACTTAGCATTCTAGCATACTTCCAATTCAAATACTTTGTGTTTTTATGTTCAAGTTTTTAGAATACTACTGCTGTTAGTGTTGAAATTGTTTGTTGCTTCCATGCCTTGGATTTGAATGACACAGATACTGTTGTGCATGTCATTATTGAGCACATTTTGGAGAAATCTTTTTCAGTAGTTCGGACTTTCATTGTCTAATATGATATAAATTGATTTAAAATCCCTGAAAGAATCTGTAAAAACTTAAAGAAAGCTGAAAAGTAACAATTGTATTAAACAAAAACAACTGAAATTGCAATGAAGTGAAATACAAGCAACAACCAAAGAATCAAAATATTGAACTATTAACACGAGATGAAAATTAAAAAATTATCAACAAGGAATGAAAATTAAACATTAAAAAAAGTTTTGAAAAATCCAAAACAAGTTACTTCACGACGTTTCGATTGTTGGTATCCACAATCGTCTTCGGATGATAACTGGGCTTATTCCTCAGAGATCTGACTATTTATAGGTCATTGAAGTGCTTTCACCTATCACCTTTTCCCTCTCTCCGCTTTATCGGTTTTAGCGGAAGCTGACTGTTTGGCGGGAGTTGGTCGTATTCCGCCTAATTGAAGGTTACCATTTGTTGCGTATCTCTACGCTAGCTTGGCTAAATGCGTTGATGGACAACATACATGCGACTTCTTTGAATTTTCTCCTGAACCAGTGTTCCTCCTTGTGGATGATTTCAGCTTAATCCTTCTTGATGTTATGTTGATGAGTCCAAATATACCCTGCTATTCCTGATTTGCTAGTTTCTCCTCGCTGTATGTGTTTCTTGTGCTCAGCAATGCGAACTTTCAACGGCCTCATAGTTTCACCGATGTATGATTCTCCGCACTCGCAGGGTACATGGTGAATGCACTTTTTGGAATCGCGGTCCGCGTTTGGTGGCCTGGTTTTCACGGAGCTGCTACAGATAGTGTTTCCAGATCTGAAACAGGTTCTGATGTTATACTTGGACCCAATCCTTCTTATCCTTTCCGACAATCCTCTGATGTAGGGAAGTACAAGTACTGGTTGTGGCGGCTTCTCTTTCTTGTGGAGCTCTTGCTGTCTTGTAGCTAATGCCTGTTCCACCATCACTTTGGAGTAATCATTCCATTGAAGGTCATTTTTGATAATGCCTAGTTACTTTTCGAGACCTTTCTTTGTATCACAGAGCCCGAAAGCACAGTTAAGTAGAGTCTTGATGATTCCTCTCTTAGTCGATTGATGGTGGTTGGATTCCTGGTTCAGATACTGTCCTGTGTGAGTGGGTTTTTGATATACAGATGTTTTCCATTCAGTGTCGGTCCTCTTCACCAATACGACAAAGAATGGCAATTCGTTGTGGACTACCTTCTCTATTGTAAAATTGATGGAAGGACTTACGTTGTTGATGTGCTTCAGGAAGGTGTCTAGTTCTGCATTCCCATGGTTCCATATTATGAAGGTGTCATCTCTCTGGGCTTCTTGTGGGCTTCTTCAATGGCCAGAGTTTCAAACCACTCCATATATATTGGCTATAACCGGTGAAAGTGGCGATCCCATTGGCAGTCCCTCATCTTGCGTAAAAAATTCGTTCTTCAGCTGAAAGTAGCAGTTTCGTACATAGCATACTAGTAATTTCATGATTATTTGTATCGAACTTGTCAACCACCTCTAAACAAACGTTGGAGAAAGCTCTTATTTTTTTCCAAATTTTTCTGAGAGTTCTTCATTTATACTTTTTTCAAAAAGTTGCCATATCGCTGCATATGTCAGTAGTCAATGTCAAAGATCTTGACTAGTACTGCCATTAAGATGATGTTCATCATCTCTAGCGTCATCAAAAATATGGGCATTATTACTTTAACTTGGGGAAAATTTCCAATATTTCTTAAAGCTACCCCAACCTAATATTTAGATATCTCTAAATAATTCTTAAGAAACCATATGGAACTAAATACATGGACTCTTTCGGTTCTAATGTGAGACTATAAAACACTCTAGTTTGAATAGACACCCAGTCCACTGAATGGTCCTAACACGATATTGAAATGAATATGTTTTGCAAAAGGACAAACAATGAGTAAAAGAGCCTGATATATTTCCTCAATTTGCAAACATAAATTATTGTTGACCATCATCTTTATGAGTATGATTGTCTGAACTGCTTTAGGTGGAGCGTTGCCAAAAATCCAAAGTAGATGCCAAAGAAGCTGAGACCAAACTCCTAGAACAGAAGCAGACTGAAGTAAGGCTGCAGCAATACGAAACCAAAGAGCTTCTGAAAAAAGTCGAGATGGAGAAAGCCAAGGAACTTGCCAGAAAAGTGGAGCTAATCCAAGAGATCAAAACCCTCCATGAGATAACTACCAAGATGAACGAATCCAAGAAAGAATTCGATCCCACGGAAAGTCCGAATCTAGGTTTGATGTGTGAAATGTCTATCGCAGAACTTAACGAGAGACTGTTCATTACAAAAATGGTCATGAAACAAGAGCTCGAACAAAAGAGAAAGAGCATACTGACTAAAAAGGAGGATCAACGCGAAATGGTGAACAACGTTAAGAATTTCATTGCTCAAGCAAGAAAAGTGCCAAAACCAGTATCCAGGCCGATTTTGATGACGACTGCAGAACAGAGTGCTGACTTGGTCGAGCTTAGAAAACGTTTGGAGGAGAAGAGAAATTTGAGAATACAAACTTGATAGAAATTGATTTGTATTTTAGAGTTTTCAGACAAATCCATTTGAATAAAATATTTTTATACTGGAACAGTTTTCTTTTATCCAAATCAAAATAATCGTGATGAGAAAATAAGGGGTAATAAATGAAAACTAGTAACCCTAACTCATCTAAACTTTTGTTGATTTAAATTTTTAAGTTATGTTATAAGGTTAAGTTACTTCATAAGGTGTCTCGCAGAAAATTCATAAAACGTGAATGACGCCAAACTCCAATATTGAGATACATGATTTTATTAGACTTCAATTTTTACTGTATATTATTGATCAAATAAATATAACTATATTATTTCATAAAAAAGTTGGCAATACATATTATAATTTATCCAAAATCTTCATTTTTTGAATAGAGTAAATCAAAATTCAGAATAATATAGAAAGTTCTATTCGGTTTTCTTTGTAGAATTAAGAAAGGAAATGTTATATGCAATCAGTTTTTACCCAGTAAGTGAGCAGAGTTCTTGCGGATTCTTTTGAAAAAAATAATAATCAATCATTTATTCATAATATTATTGGGCACATTCAATAAAATTCAAAATTTCCATAACTAGTACTTAGTACTAAGTTCTCCGAGGACAGTGAGAGGTCGAGTGACTTCTGTTCATACATCATCAGATTCTACTTTGTCTGGAATATTTGTTCGAAACTGGAATTCAAAAAACAATATTGAGCAAAGATCTATTCACGTCATAAAGAAACCTCCAAATGTATATCTTGGAATCCCAAGGGACTCTTTATTTATTCTAGAACTTTTGTCTCAAAAATGGCAGTTACCCAGAATTTATATATATACATTACTTGAAAGAAAATTGAATTGAATTGGTCCTATGAAATTTTGGCGGACGATTTTTGTTTAGCTGCTGCTTCCGTATGTAAATCCATTAAAAGAACACTTCCAAAATTAGCAGTTTTTTTGAAAACATTCATTCCATGGAAAGCTATAGAGGAGGTTAGGGAAAATCTGCTTATTCTTTTTATACATTGCATCGTTATAATAACGTACAGTGCATTATTAATTGTTTTGAGACATCAATTCAGAAACCAAGTGACCCAGGTCTCTACTAAAGCTGTCTTCTAATGAACACATAATGGTCCTTAACTTTTAAATTGTTTTGAAAACAAAAGAATTCAAAAATACGTAACACGTGGTGTTTTCAAACCAGCAAATGAAACAAAATCCGACGATGGCAGCGATTCATAATCTCCAGCCACAGGCCCAGTTGCCACCTAAATAAAGCATTTCTCCTAATATTTCTATATGTTATCCAATGGAACAGATTGATGTTATATTTCATTCAGGGGTAATATGCTGATTTATCAAAAAATAAGTCGTTTTTTTATAATCTTCAATGAAGTACCATAACCAAATATCTGGTTCTCGTCTATTTCATGTTGTCCGAATAACTGGATTAACCAATCATCTGTATCATAGCATTTTACACATTTGTTGGCCCATGGTGTGGTTGTTATACCTGACGTTTCGTCTATGACTGCGGCAGATATGAAAGGTATGTGGCAGCGGGAGAATTGCTCCAGTTGACCATTTCGTCTGTTTTCTCATTGCCTTTCATAATGTCGCAGTCGTAGACGAAACGAGAAGCATAAAAACCTGCAGACCACGACCAACAAACCAGAAAAATGCATTTTTACATATTATGAAAAACATAAACGTAAAATAGTTGGCCTGTCAATTTCTGAACCACGATGTGATGTTCTAACTCAAGCTCATGTTTGATATTTATTCCAACGTATTTCTATTGATGGTATGGAAAACTCTTTTAAAAATCTATAAACACCAGTTATTTTTCTAATCCACAGAAAAGTTCATCAGTATTTTATTCAAGTTTGATCTATGGATAATTTCTTCATTCGTTTATTTATTTTTTTCTAGCCTTTTCTGAGATGATTTATGATTTATTTTCATTTTCAGGTAAATGGGGGCTCCCCGGCAGAACGAGCAGGTCTCATCGCTGGAGATTCAGTAATAAAAATTAACAACACAGACGTTTTCAACTTGAGGCACAAGGACGCACAAGACGTAGTAGTAAGAGCAGGACACAATTTCGAAATTACTATTCAAAGGTGAGTTGAAATTTGAAAATAGCTGCTTCTTCTGCCCCTCTCAAATCGACTTGCCCTGCTTGAAACCTTTGGTGTAGTAATGAATATTACTGAAGTTTTATCCCAACACCAAACCATTGGTTTCAACACCTCGACACGTGTTTCGATCACCAAGTGATCATCTTCAAGCGAAAGATTGAACTAAATAAACATAAATGCTGTCCTTATTTACACCATAGACACCTCTGCTAGGTACCTGCATCTCAATCTGATGAATAAAATATTATTTGAACAAGCCATATAGTATATATTAGATATTGGTCCACCATCATTATTCATAAAAATAGTATTTATTATGAATTGAAGGGGTTATATTTTTGGGAGTGATTAATTTTTGGGAAAGAAAGTTTTTGGCTTCTCCATCTTGATCTCCATCTACTACTAGAAAGCCAAAAACTTTCCCAAAAATTAATCACTCCTAAAAATATAACCACTTCAATTCAAATAAGATTCCTCTTGGCTGGGATTGAATCAAATAGGTGAATGAATGTCATTACGATGTCATCGATGACATAAGCAGATCAAGCTTGACATTAAAAAATCGTAATTCATGAATGAATTGTGTGTATTTTCTATAATGTTATCCAATTTGGTACTGAAGAGCCTTGTGGCAAGTGTCTTAAGGCGAAACATCGATGTATACCAGTGAGGGTGACAGTGTTCTATGTAAGTGCAATTTATTACCATTCATTCAAAGTATAGAACTCATGTGAATGATATCTGATTTTTATTCCACAACGAATGTTTGAAATACAAACTGAGTAGAGAAAAGTATCTTCTGTATAATTCAGTGTTCATATAGAAGTATTTGTTTCGAAAGAATTTTTTTCTTTCGTGTAATTCAATGTTTATATGAAAGTAGCTGTTTCAGGAGGACTTTCTTTCAATTTTGTGTCTGAAAGTTACTTCTTTGCATGATCTACACATCCATGTATAGAGTTACTTATTTTCGAATTGATTACTTCCTTTCTTTGGAAGATTCCCTCATCCCCTTTTTTTGTATCAAGATAGAGTAGTAGAAAGCCAAAAACTTTCTTTCACAGTATTTATTATGTTTACTTCCCAAAGTTCTTCCTGTATGGTGGTATGGGGCTGAAATTTATTCATCTTGGTTTTCGTCGTATCTAAAAGTCGAGATTTCGTTGCCTTATCTAATCTGTTTAATAAAATATTTCAACATGCTATATAATATATTATGAGGTATTGGTCCACCATCGTTATTCATGATATTATGTTTACTTTCCAAAGTTCTTCGTGTATGGTGGAATGGGACTGAGATATATTTATCTTGGTTTTCGTCGTTTCTGAATGTCAAGATTTCGTTCATTCTAAACCCAAACTTTCTCTTCCTTATAATATCATCTACAATACCCATCGAGAAACCGTTTCTGACTGCTGTTTCCTGTAATGTCCGTTTTTCTTTTGTGAACCTCTCATGTGTGAGAGGCAATGTCAAAAGACGATGCACTAGAAAATTCAGCCCAGCACGTTTGTGCTGTGTACAGTGGTGTGAACTGTCAGGAATATACCTGTGAGTGCTTGTTTCCTTCCTATATTTAGTTTAATCTACCTCTATTAATTGAGAGGTAATTGTCTGATGAGTCTGAGCTTTTCCTATCGAGAATTACTCTAACTCATTTCTGATAACTTGGGAGAAAAACTTCATTGAATCATGTCAATATTCACCTTATAAAAAAAAATAACAACAATATACAATTACAGAAATACAGTACACATACGAGCAAAGTTATATCTCAAAACACAAATTTTATATATATCACAAATTTTCATGTGGAATAGTTGAATTCACAGATTGAAATTAGTGATATTCAAATTTCAATATCAACAATTTGTTTTCACTTTATTCGTCTTATGAGTAGTACGCTTCACCTAGCAGTGAAAATTTCAGATAATTCTTGAATTTCTTATGGATAGTTATGAATGATTTTTTGGCATTATTGTTTCACGATGTTTCGTGATTTTTGGCTTTTCTTAGTAAGCGATAGAACAGTTTAGGTGTATACACCGAATAATATCTGAGTGGAGTCGGGTGTGGGTCTTATTGTTATCATTAGACATGAAAATGTGATTTACAACAAAATAAAGCATACACCTTTCTTAAAGTTGAAATCACTAAATCCAATTGGCTTGATTGCCAAACCATAGGTTAGTTGAAATTGAAAAATAGGTGAATGATATAAATAGGTCTCTGTAATAGCAGTAAGTAGATTATAATACAAATTATACAAAATTTAGAGGTGAAGGCAAAGAAAAACTCTCGAGAGAACGGTTCTAGAATAAAGTTTATAAAAATCAGTCTTTATCTTAAAACGCACATACTCATTAGTAAAACTCAATCAAGCTTAACATGTATATATAAATTCTATAAGGCTTTAATGAAAAAAATACTCGGCTTGTGTATGCACAGCAAGTGTTATGTGCACGCACTAGGTAAAAGAAAATGAAGAAACATCCACTGGGTGATACTTATTACTATGTCCTTAAGTGAATTCAATGAGGACGTTTCACGAAATAGGGTAAGCCTTCATCAGTTCTCGTATCAGTTGTCTTATGTTGGATCGAAGATGAATAAAACTCCTTTTTCCTAGTTCCAAAAAAATAGTATCTAACTCTTTCATTAACTCGAAAACTACCACAAACTCCTATTCCTCAGAGAAGTTGAAACGCCTAAAAGCCATTGGAAGTGTTACGGTCAGATCGAGACAAAACGTGAAATGAAAGGGAATATAACTTTCGACAACTCACCTCATGTGCAAAAATCCGACGCAACCCTGAGACGTTGAATACTAATATAACATAGACTTATCCTCTATTGTTAAAGAGACTCCGGCGATATCCAGAAATATACTATTCCCCAAAATGAAATTCGCCAATTTGGAATGAAAATAGTGGAGAATGCTTTAATAATGATACGCAATAGTACTACAGTCAATCTGTCAAAAAAAATTATAATGGCTGAAAAATTACCCGATGGATGAAACTTGGTGAGTCGTTAGAGAATGATGGAAGAAAGCTTACCTAGGGATGGCCACCTGCTACCGGTGACGGTTTTTGAAAAAACTAAGAAATATTTTAAAATGCATTTTTGCTCGAAAACTATGCATTTTACGGAACAAAGTATTCAACAAAAAATGTAGAGGGCATCGTTATCTACAATTAATGTTATTGGTTTTTCAGCTATACAATCCAAATAGAAAAATTGTTCCTTTCGAATTCAAAAACAACTTTTTTTTTCATACAACTTACCGTTTCGGAGCTGCAGTTTATTAAAGTGAAAATTTCACTATAACGCTTTCACAAGCTATGAGGACAGCCACGGAGCAGATAACAGATGTATTTTTATTATTTTAATCAAGAAGTAATAATCTATATTGTTTATAACATATAACTAGTGAAAATTACTATCAATATTAGACCTTTATGGATACCTTTTCATTAAATTTTTATATAAATTGTTTCATTGAGCGGAATGATTACTTGTAAAATAAGTTGTAAAATAGTTGTAAAAGTATTTTTATTTTGATATGAAAAACAATTTAGTATTTAATTGAAAACGTTAAAAGTTATAACGATTTTATTGATTTTTTGCGAAATATGGATCATGTCGATGAATTAATTGAATTGATATCATACATTTTATTGCTACATGCACTAATATTTCTTTGATAATGTACATGTTTTCATTTTATATCAATTGAGTAACACAGGTTTCATTCGATTACAATAAAAAACAATTTTTCAAGGGTTGCAAAGTTTTGCTGTCTCTACTCTCCGAAACTCACATAACAACTGAAAAATGTGCGTTTCTTGAAGAATAGGGCCCTTTTGTTCAAACAATGCCAACGTTGCCGGAGAAAGTCACAAGAGGACCGATAAACTTACCGTTAGCACCACTCCGCTGTTCACGCAGCGCTATATAACACTATATCTTTGAAACGGTAAGTTGTATGAAAAAAAGTTGGAATGAAAGTTGTTAATGAAATTGAAAGGAACATTTCTTCCATTTAGATTGTAGCTGAAAAATGAAAATTTCAGAACAAAAAAGTGGAAAAACACTTTTTTGGAACTTTAGCGCCACCTACTGCGAGAATTTTTCGTTGTACAACATAGCACCATGACGTTGATTGTAGATAATGATGCTCTGTACATTTTTTGTTGAATAAATTTATCTGTAAAATGCATAGTTTTCGAGAAAAATGCATTTCAAAATATTTTTGAGTTTTTTCAAAAAACCATCACAGGTTGCAGGTGGTCATCGCTAGGTAAGCTTTCTTTCATCACTCTCTAACGACTCACCAAGTTTCATCCATCGGGTAATTTTGACAGATTGACTGTACTATAGGCACTATTCATCCAATCTATCCAAAATCTACCCAGTCACTGTTCCGTCGACCGAAACATACGATACGGTTTTTTCCATAGCTACTTTTTCCCCATAAGATTCGCAGACTCAGGCCACAATTGAAATCGTTCATTTTAAACGGAGAATGAAATAAATGAATTGGCATGTGTGAGGATATTTGATATACCTACAGAGTGTTCTTTCGCGGCGCTATCCTAGTATTTTAAAACCTTTTAGAATTTTATCAAAACCACGTTACAACAAGTTTGGTCCGTTTTATTATCATGTGTTTTTGTAGCTGCATATCTGAATAAATATTTATCCTACTGTGCCGTGGCATAAAATGTTCGATAGAGAGTGTATAGAGTGTTGATGCTGTTAATTTTTTACAAATTTTAATTTTTCAGCTTAGAACTATATGATGTCCTTGAGCCATTTTTGGCCAGTTTTCCTTTACGGATTCAAATTGAACCAAAGCGCTGCCGAAGCAGCCCGAGAAATTAATCAGGCAATTGGCAATGATAATGTTAATGAACGCACTGTTCTAAGTTGGTATGCGAAATTTCGTTCCGGAGATTTTAGCTTCGAAGATGAGGCCCAAAGTGGTCCAGGACGAGGATTTGTGGACCTTGGTGGAGATTGACCCATCAGAAATGTTCCATGGGATGGCGGAAGAACTGAGCGTTAGCTCCCATGTGGTTTCTGATGATTCAAAAGGTATTGGAAAGATCAAGAAGCTCGAAAAGTGGATGCCTTACGATTTGAACGATTGGTGTTTCGAGATCTTCTTTGCTTTTACGCAACCGAAACGATCCTTTATTGGATGGGATCATCACGTGTGATGAAAAGTGTATCCTCTGTGACAACAAAAGAATTCAAGGCAGCGGTTGGACACCGATGAACCATCCAAGTACTTCCCAAAGGCAAAAACTTACCAAGAAAAACATGGTTACTGTATGGTGGTTAGCGGCTGGTGTGATTCACCATAACTTTCTCCAACTGGAACAAACTATCACAGCAGAGTCCTATTGTGAGGAAATCGACGAAATGTACCAAAAATTGCGTCAGCCGGCACATCTCGGGTGCTCACATAAGGATTTTCAATAAGGTGAAGAGCAATCTGAAATGTATTCTCTTCATTTGTTACAGGGCAGACACGTTCGAATGTCTCGTGATTGACATTACCAGTTCTTTCAAATCCTGTTTTCAGAGTCGGAAATGCCCTTCCATCAGGTTGTCTATTTATCGATATGACTGCAAAAACAATTGAAAAGTTCAAAAAATTGTTTCCTCTGATAGCAATAGACCGAGGGAATCTTGCTGACTCACCCTTATAATACACGCGTAACATTTCAAATATCCAAGCAGTCAAACGCTTTTGCTACTGCCTCATTATCATTTATTTTGAGATACATTTTCTCTTATAGTGCGAACTTAGCGTCATGATCTCCGATTCCTGGAATCCAAATTGACAGTTGCTGAGTGACACGATTTCCTCCTCAACAAGCTCCTCTACAAGTTTTGAGAGAGTTGGCAATAGTGGAGAGGGACTCATGTTTGTTACTGAATCATATTTTCCCTCTTTGGGCAGTGGATTAATATTATCAATAGGGAAGTGGATTAGAAGAGAATCCACTCGATAATGAGCTGTTGGTTGCGTCAGCTGAAGTGCATTCTCCGGTGAAAGCAAAAGAAGCTTTACAAATATATCATCTCAACCTGATGTGTTCTTGGCTTCAATTTTATCCAGAGTGTCAATCATTCCATTTGAATTGGGGGGTGAAAAAAAAATCTATATTGAAATGTTGGGTTTTCCAGGTAGTTTAATTGAAGCCAGTCATTACCAAGAGTTTCGTTTTTATTCGTATCAAAGTTAACATCTTACATCGAAGAGTATATGCACACTAATGATTCATCAGAATCGGGGTTATACAGAATTGGTTGCTCATCACTTATTATCTAATTGTTATATATTTGAACTGCAAACAGTTCAATGTACTGAAAAGGTTGCAGTAATACATAATTAGGTCGAGGTGAGTTTAATGAACCTGCAACGTTTCTATACGTAGATTTGTTGAAAAGACAATTGAATATAATACGAATTTGGTAAACTATTTGAAATGTAAAATATGTGACTTAAATCTTTATCACAATATCAGTAAATTTATATCATAAGAAGATGATCACTTCGTGATCGAAACACGTGTCGAGGTGTTGAAATAACGGTTTGGTGTTGTAGAAAAACTTCAGTAATAATCATTACTACAGCAAATGTTCCAAACAGTACATCACAGGTAGTTTTGGGAAAGAAAGTTTTTGGCTTTTTACTACTCCATCTTGATACAAAAAAAAAGGATGAGGGAATCTTCCAAAGGAAGGAAGGAAGTAATCAATTTGAAAATAAGTAACTCTATACATGGATGTGTAGATTATGCAAAGAAGTAACTTTCAGACACAAACTGAAAGAAAGTCCTCCTGAAACAGCTACTTTCATATAAACATTGAATTACACGAAATAAAAAAATTCTTTCGAAACAAATACTTCTATATGAACACTGAATTATACAGAAGATACTTTCCTCTACTCAGTTTTCAGTATTTCAAACATTCGTTGTGGAATAAAAATCAGATATCATTCACATGAGTTCTACTTTGTTTGAAATACAAACTGAGTAGAGAAAAGTATCTTCTGTATAATTCAATGTTCATATAGAAGTATTTATTTCGAAAGAATTTTTTTCTTTCATGTAGTTCAATGTTTGTATGAAAGTAGCTGTTTCAGGAGGACTTTCTTTCAGTTTGTGTCTGAAAGTTACTTCTTTGCTTGATCTACACATCCATGTATAGCGTTACTTATTTTCAAATTGATTACTTCCTTCCTTTCTTTGGAAGATTCCCTCGTCCTTTTTTTGTATCAAGATGGAGTAGTAGAGGGCCAAAAACGTTCTTTCCCAAAAATTAATCACTCCTAAAAATATAACCCCTTCAATTCAAATCACAGGTATTTTGTTGTGGCAAAATATTAAAAGCAATACTGCCACCTTTTGTGCGATGTCATATGTGTGTCATCTTTTGAGGATCATTTTTGTATTCAAAATGATGGTCACATGTTATGGAATCCTCCCTTTCAATATAAAGGAAATATGAAGTCATATTTATGTAAGTATACCTAAAAGTCAAAATGAAAAATGAACATTGCCCTCTAAGCGTCAGAAAAGAGTCATTCAGCTGGGTGGCTGTATATACACAACCATCATATAAACTGAAATTAAAAAAAAAATCGTTAGTTCATCTTATTTTCCTTACCTTCATTTATTAATCAATGATTACCAACATTTTAAGTCACTGCTCTTGAATTCCATCCTCGGATGCATGATCAGCATCCTCGGTCGGTGTTCTAGAATCTAGCCACGTGGTTCGCCATGAAACAATCGGAATAATTGATCGGTTGCCCAAATCGATGATAAATCTGTTTATTTTCGTTCACCTCCACCTATTTTTTATTTTCAGAGGAGGTTCGACGTGGAAGCCTTCAGTGATTCCTACTGGCCAGTTTTCAACACCAACACCCAACATAAACAACATCAGTCCCGTTACGAGGACTTCTTTGGCTGCGCAAAAAACAGAGAATATCGGTGCCATCGGTACAGGACACAATCTAGCTGCTAAACCTTTCAGTCCACAGGTAAGTCGGAATTTTTCTAAAAATGAAATAAGAAAAAAAAAAAGTTAAACGGTTTTATTGAAAAAAAAAAGATAATGATGTATATAATGTACTGAAAACTAGAAAATAGCAGTCATCACACAACTATCCCCAGCAATCTACGGTATTCATTAGAAAAAAAATTATGAAATCGTTGGGCGTAGTATTTACATATTTACTCAGGTTACGCTACGCCCAACGATTCTAATAATTTTTTATCTGTTCAATACCGTAGATTGCTGAGGAGAGTGGTGTGATGACTGATACCAAGGCTTTCCAATTATTTTTCAGCTTTTAGTACATTATCTACATCATTATTATCTTTTTCTTTTCAATAAAGCCTTTCCACGTAAAACTTTTATCAATTATTTCATTTTCTAATTTTTATTTTCTAATTTTTTTACTCAATTTTTCTCATTCTGTTTAGTTCATTTGGTGCCTCAGTATTACAAGGTTTATTTCCCATCAATTTGTTGCAATCTAACTCCTCAATACATAAACCTTCCAACCTAAATGCACAACTGCGTGCTGCACAGTGTTGCCTTGCATTCTGTGGACAGTGGAAGCCCATGACAAAATTGAGGGTAACATCATTTTTCAGCAGTCCCATGATTGAACTTTGCTGGGAATTGTATGGCTTCAGGTTGGATAAGATGTACGTCGTCTCTTCCAAAGTTGATTTGATCTTACGGTACATCTGTTTCGTACATTTGAGTTCGACAAAATTGAGGCCAAACAATTTCTGCCATGTAGCCGATAGCGCCGTTTACCAATCCTTTCGATACGTCAATATTGGACCGCAACATATTGAGGAATTTGTGAAAAAATATGTGATCCGCCATTTTGTACCTGCGGCCATTTTGGATTTACAATGAAACATAATTTGTATTGTTATCAAAACTAAATGTGTGTACCAAATATCAAATCAATCTTTCAACAGAAAGAGGGTCCAACTTCAATTACTGGATTTGACCCAAACAAACAAGGCAAGCTAAATAAAACCGTACAAAAAGCTTCATGAAGCAGTCGTTTACTTTGTTTACTATTGAAAAGAAAGTGGAAGTATTGCAGAAATTCGTTTGAGTACTCGACAGTTTTATCCAAAATTATTTTTTACATCTAGTACACATTGCAACAACATTTTTGTCTTAGCGTTAAGTGATAATAGTTACAACGGTATGTCATAATCTGATCTATCACGAAATGTGCTTTTGTGGTAATGAAAAATGGTTCCGATTCTAAAGTTGTCTTGAAATACGTACAGTCTGTCAAATCTATGAAGAAACTTGAGAAATCTTTGTCTCTCTCTCTTCTTCAGATCTAATGGACGGGAACTTAACGGAATTCAGAAAGCTCTTCCTACATTTGAAAAACTGTAGTTCAAATCGATAATATATTCAGTAAACAAAATTTAGTGTGTTACGGAAAAACGGCACTTTGAACTCACGTGGTACTATAGTAGGAAAAACAGTCGAATCATTCAAATCACAGATGTTTCTGTCAGAAATCAAAAGAAAGAGAAAAAAGATCCATCTGAAGTTACCACGTTAACGTATACTAGACATAGGCGTACTTACCAAAATATTCACAAGTATATTTCTGTTCTTGGGTATAGGTATAACCTCCCACAATCTGAAAAATTAACAAAGATGCTTTAATAGAGAATCGCGTCAAATTGCAAATAGCTTTAATTATTTTATTGAGTTTACAAAATGTCCCAGTTTGAGAAGAGTAATATCAAAATAGCATACCAGCGTATCAGATAATGAGATGCATAAAATAAAAGTCAAACATGTTCAAACAAATACAACTAGAAAACCTGAATAATAGTGAATTATTCATAAAAATCTAACTGAAATGTAATATGCATTAATGAGAAGTCTTTTCCTGATTTTTACATGATTTGACTGAAGTTGTTCAGTTTCATATATGCGTTTTTTGGGTTCTGTTTACTAAGTGGGAGTTCAAAGAACTTGGGCATCAGCTGGTGTCATTAACATATACTATGATAAATAGGAACCACGGAACTAAACCTTGTGGCACTGCACTTGCCATAGCTGAAAAATGTTTGACCAATAACTGAAACAGTTTTTTTCTTCCATGTTTGAATAAATTGAGGGTTATTCATCAACTTCATGAACTGTGGTTGATGGAAGACACAGTCAAAGGCTTTGAACCACAAAAATGGCAACTGCGTTATAGTTTCGAGTCATATCAATTTCATTATTTTTTTTATTAAACTCAGTCAACAAAATGAGTGTAGTTCAGGTTTATGAAAAAATATGAAAAATCAATTGTTCTGGACATAAAAAGTATGAAGCATTCGTACATCATTATCTGTCACTGAAGCTCCGTAACACCTAGCACTAGACTTGAATATTGGTTGGTGAACTCTCATGGCAACACGATCGAAGGCCTTGTAACAGCAACATCACAACTTTCCATGTTTCGATTGCATTATCTTGCATTATCCCAAAGATGCATGATGTATTAAAAAAGATGTCACATATTCATTTCTGCTGCTATATAGAAAACTGTTTACAAAATCACATCATGTGTTTCACTATACAATAGGTTCTTCAGCCGTGTAGTAGTATTGAGTACCACCTGAAGAAGCTATTCCAATTTGGAATTGATATGTGACAGATGTGAAGTTTCAACCTTGTGAAAAGGCCGGAATTTTTGAAAACCTTTGACCAATAGGGAATGTTCCTCAATTTGGGTTATTACAGCAAATGTAAGTGTGAACAAAGTAAAGTTGAGTTTAACTCATGAGTTTTTAAAATTCACTTCAAAAAGTATGCAAATTGATGTTTCTAATTCACATATTGACAACAGCGCCTATATCAAGTTAAAATACGTGCCTAGATATTCTACTTCAAAAAAGGAAAATTATCTTTATAAATCAACAATTAAGGCAAAATATAAATTATAATTCAATACCACGTCCGCAAGCCACATAAACAACAGTTGTTTTGTTATTTATGTATATAAAAGAAGATAGGTTAGGTGCACAACATGTCATATGTCACAGAATGTCTCGGAACTCGGAACATAAGTAAACAGAACAGCACGCCTCTGAAATATGTCATCTTTGTTTGTCTCATGTGGGTAACATATTCGTTGTCCTTTATTAGCTATAACCGATGTTGCCAAATGGTGAAATAGAAACGAATCCCTTTAAATGTTGAATGCATTATTTCATTCTCCTTTTTTGAGTATTTAAATATTTTTTTTAAGAAAAAGATTGAAATGATAAGTTTAAAATGCGTTGTTTCAGACCTCTTTTATGAAAACTACTTGATTTTCGAAAGGAGGAACATTCCCCATTGTGGAGCTTTTGCTCTCCTCCCACTGATTGCACAAGTTTCCTCGATATCATCTGAGACATTTTGATACAGTTTTGTGAAACAATTCTTGTGAACCATTTCTATTTGAATTTTTTCAACAGTTCTGATGCAACAGAAACGGAAATGAATGTTTTCAGTTGCCATGTGAATTATGTAAGCTCTGGGTTTCATGCCAACTGAAGTAACTTTGCCAATTGCCATTGTGTGTTGACGGAATGCTGTGAGATGTGCCTATTCATAGGACTAGATTTTGTCTCTATTATATCAATCGCGTTCTACTGATCCTACTGAGGAAATCTCAAAGAAGTATTCTCATTGAAAATTACATAAGCGAGGAGTAGTCAAGGTTTAAATTAATGATCAACTTTGTTGAATTCTCTAACAGATTCAAAGACATTGTAGTTGATAAGAGCATAGCTGATCTTCAAACTATTCCATTTTTCAAGTTTTTCTGTTGGTAGTTGTCAGAATATCATGAAAAATCTATCATATTAGGTCCTTATCAACAAGGAATCCAATCCAAATTAATAATGAAGGCATCTATAGAGGTAAAATTGGTTATCATTTCAGAAATCTCAACTCCAAAAAATACTTGAATACGAGTTGTGGTTTTCCCTGTATATTCAACCCTCAAATATATATCGTTATGATCAATGATTTACTTAGTGATCACAACACAATTTCAAAGAAGGTTCCTATAAAAAATTCTAGTGATTCTCTCCACAAGTTTTCTTTTTCGTATAAACACATTTTTATTGTGATAATTTCAAAAAATACTGTTTTTTTTTGGACGAGTAGACAAAACTTGTAGTCAAGTCCTGGAAGTTTGCGAGTACAAAAAATGTTTTCGAGGGTGTTGCATACACTATTTTTCCTGCAACCGTGTAGAATAACGAATCGATGAAACAAAATTTCGAACATTTTAATTATTTTAATCGAAAGGGTATATGTTCAGGAGTAATTCATTTTTGGAAAGTTTTTGGCTTTCTACTTCTCCATTTTGATACAAAAAATGTATGAATCTCCCAAAGGAAGGAACGAAGCAGTCAATTCGAAAAATATTTGTTTGAAGGTGATTGACAATGTTTCTTGATGAATTTCATTATTCCGGACATCCGTTGCCTAATAATATATAAAATGGTTTGAAATCCCTAAAAAAATCAATACAAATTAAAAATTGAAAAAATAAAAAGAAAAGCTGGAAGTAACAAATATATTAAGTGAAAAAACCCTGAAATAAAATCACAGTCAAATAAAATACAAGTGAAAAATAGAACAAATGAAAATGAAGAAATAAGGAGATTCCAAACCAAGTTACTTCACGACGTTTCGATTGTTAGTATCCACAATCGTAGGAATGTAGGAAGGGTCAATTGAGGCTTGGCCTATGGCCAGAAGCGCTCACAGCGCAACCTCTGCTGCAGGCAACAAGTGATGCAATTGAACCCAGGTTTGTGTTTAATAAACCCTACAAAATACAAATAAAACAGAACACGGAGTCAGATGCTACAAATGCAATACGCATAAATAGAGACGGCTCATAAACCAAAGAAGGCTCAGGATGTAAAGTGTACTGCAGATCACTGAGCATAAGGATTAAGTGGAGAATGTGATCCAAACAGAACTGGCTGGTATCCCAATCGCCACAAAAGAAATAACCAGAAAATCTGCACTGACAGCAGACAAACCCTATTAGCCTTGAACAGACAACGTGTTCCCTCAGGGCGAGTACTAGAGTGCCACCAAGATTTAGCCAAAGCCTCGGTAGATAATAACATTATCCTGAGGTGGGTTAAAGGGCACGACAGGAATAAAGGTTATCGCATTGCCGACTCTTAAGCCAAGGAAGCGGCTGGATGACGTCGACAATTGCGGAACTAGCCAAATATTACACCCATGCTCAATCCCTAAAGAGATGGGACGGAATCGAAGAATGCAGTCTTACCAGGATCACCCTAGGCGACCCTGGGAAGCTGGCGCCGAAAAAATATCTGGCGATGACTGGGAAAAATCTACGCTTAACAGTAGGATATTTGACTGGTCACTGTCAACTAAGGAAACACCTCCATAATAAGGGGCTAGTGGACACACCTGTATGCAGGATGTGTGAACAGGAAGATGGGACTACAAGGAATGTCCTATAAGAGAGTGTGTGTTCGGCGAGTCTTGGCCTACACCTGCCGATATGAAGAAGATGTCTCCAAGTGACCTGTCCACTTTCCTGGAAAGGACAGGATGGAAGATGACCTAGGAGGACATTTCCTCTGGAGAATGTACAATGGGTTACGTGGCCTAAGTACTGTGAGTTTACATTCACCCTACCTACTCTACAGATACAGATCCACAATCGTCTTCGGGTGATGACTTGACTAATTTCTCCTAGAGATGACTATTGATGGGTCATTCGAGTACGTCCACTTATCTCCTCTTTCCGCTTCACCGGTTCAGCTGGAGATGACCGTTTGGCGGAAGATGACCATTTGGCGGGAGTTGGCCATTTTTCGCTTGATTATGGATTTCCATATGTTGCGTATCTCTACGTAAGCTTGGCTGAATACATTGTTGGACAACATGTATACGGATTCTTGGAATTTCCTCCTAAACCAGTGTTCCTCCCTGTGTATGATCTCGGCTTGGGACCACTCGATGTTATGTTGATGGGTCCAAACATGCTCTGCTATTCCTGATTTGCTGGTTTCCTCTCGCTGTGTGTGTTTTTGTGCTCATCAATGCAAACGTTTGATGGCCTCTTTGATATAGGATTTTTCGCTCTCACAGGGTATCCAGTAAATGCAATTCTTAGAACTGCAGTTCGCGTTTGGTAGCCTGGTTTTCGTGAGGTTGCTACGGATAGTGTTTCCGGATCTGAAGCAGGATTTGATGTTGTACTTTGACCCAATTCTTCTTATCCTTTTCGATAATCCTCTGATGTAGGCAAATGCAAGTACTGGTTGTGACGGCTTCTCTTCCTTGTGAGGCTCTTGCTGTCTTTCAGCCAAGGTCTGTTCCACCATCGCTTTGGAGTAGCCATTCCTTTGAAGATAATTTTTGATAATGTCTAGTTCCTACTCGAGACCGTCCTTCGTATTACAGAGCACGAAACCACCAATAGAGTCTTGATGATACCTCTTTCAGTCGATTGGATTCAGGTGATTGAATTCGTGGTTCAGATACTGTCCCGTGTGAATGGGTTTTAGGTATACAGATGTCCCCCACTTAGTGTCAGTCCTCTTCAACAATACGTCTAAGAATGGCAATTCGTTGATCCTTCCCCATTGCCTAATATAATTGTTACTTCCAGATGTTATCTTTAATTTTTCAATTTGTATTGATTCTTTAAGGGATTTCAAATCATTTTATATTTTATATTTTTAGATATTAGACAACGGGAGTCCGAACTGATGAAGTTCTATACAAATATGTGTAGATTATGCAAAAAATAACGTCATGGTACAAAATGAAAGAAAAAGTATTTTTGAGAAACAGATTCCTTTGAAAGATTCCCAATTTTTTTTTTCAAGATGGAAAAGTATAAAGCCAAAACCTCTATTATTCAATTCTCATTTGTATTTAATATTCAACTTCATCAATATCTATATGAAAATTTGTGTAATTGCTAATATTGAAGGGATAAAATTTGTTTAAAATGGTATATTTGAATTCCTTTTGTTGAAGTCAGAACAAGGAGGTGAAGTTTCCATTTCACTTTAATTGTATTCATCTGATGATTTTTGAATAGTCTTGATTTCAATTCCAGCCACCGTGTCTCTTCAAATTTGTGATGTTTCCTTTTTTGTTATTTACGGATAATCTGTTATGTGAAGTAAGGGATGCCGTAAAGATGAATATCGCCTATACAACGGTACGTTTTCTTGCCCAATTACAACAAAAGTTCTCTCAATATGTATTCTGGAATCTGAAATTTTCACCAGCAACATGTCTTCCTTGTTGTTCATCAGATCAATTGACATTTTTGTTAGTTCTTTCCGTCTACACACACCGTCTAAGCCATTAATTGCTGCTACCTTAGAATTGAGAAGATTAAGTTGATACTTTTATATCCTACAATCGGTATATCTTGTTGAAATTACCCTCAGCATCAGATATTTTTACGAAAATCTTTGGAAAAGTGGCAAAGTTCACATTTTATTTCCACTAAAATGCCACTTTTCAACATACAGTACACGCTTCACGAGTTAGAGGGTTGATAGTTTCAGCTATTTGCACCAAATAAGCCAAAATTACATCCTCTATAATAATTTTGCATTTCTTTATTTTCTTTCATTTCGATTTTGGACTTTTAGGCAATAATTGTGCTGTAGCAGCAGCTGCTGCTACAATATATCGTAAGGTACATTCTCAAACTAACTGTCGCTGTCGCTTTCATAGTTTATTGCAAACAAAAACCATGCAAACTTTAAAAAATCAAAATGTCGATTGATTTCATGTCGAATAGCTGTCAATCGTTATTTCGCTACAATGGTAATGATCAACTGAAATTAGCGAAACTATACCTACCAAGATATTCATATTTACAATGACAACAATGATGTAATTCTTTCCATACTAGGCCGGAAAAATGTTACTTTCTCAAAAGAAATGAGTCCGGGAATTAACTACTTCCCGGACGGTTGCCAAAAAATATGTTTCGATACACTTATCAAAAATTCATTTTACAGTTGAACGGTGCTGTTAATGGTGGCCCAAAGTTAGTCAACAAGCAATACAACTCCCCAGTGAAACTATACTCGGAAGAAAGCATAGCAGAAACACTTTCCGCACAAACTGAGGTGCTTTCTACTGGAGCACTAGGGTAAGAATTAAAAAACATTTTCATCACAATTTTTTCTATGCGCTTGCGTCAGCATCAACCATGTTCTTCGTACTGTTTTTCGTAGACAAACGTGTCGAAATATCTGATAGAAATATATATTAAAACTAATTAAAACAGTTTATTGTATGATTTTCACTATAGAGTGTTTTACAAAAACCGCGACATTTGTTTCGCTATACAATAGCTTCCTCTTCCTTCCTAATCTATGT